AACATCGATCACAAAGAAGTAAGATTCAAAATAGAATTTAATGGCAGTCGCAAGGAAAATTCCATTAATGTTCCAGATTTCAGAAGGGCAAACTTTGATAGTTTGAAAAGGCAGCCGGGAGAAAGGGTATCACAATTGGGGTTGAATTACATGACCTCACACAATGTACCCACAGAGGGTGACCTCACTTTACCTGCAGACATGTTAACGATGACCTCACAAAATATGGCGGTTGAGGATGACTTGATCACGAGATCTGAGGTTGACGAGTTCCGCAACAATATGAATATATAATTAATGAGTTTTAATGCACAAAAGCTGAACATACCATACAGAAAACTCAGATAAAACAACAATGACCCCAAGTGGATAAATAATTATTTAAAGAATATTATTGGACAGAGAAAGGCTATAAGTAGGAGAATAAATAGTGGTGAAGTTTACCTCCGAGTTTATTATAAGGTATTGGCCGGTAGGGTTAAGACCGAGATAAGAAAAGCAAAGAGGAATAATGAATTGAAGGTAACAAGGAAAGCTAGGTCAAACCCCAAGGGATTCTTTCAAATGTATCAAACTAGGACACGAGAAAAAAATGGATGAATACAGTCAGATACCGGCGAGCTAACTGATAACGACGGAGAAATGAGCAATAATCTGAATACATATTTTCAACAATTTTCACCACCGAAAATTTAAACATGATACCCGAGGCACCGACTATATACAGAAAAAGTGAAGAAAATAGTTTAAGCGAGATAGTAGTGACTAGATTAACGATGTTAGTCAACAAATAGAGAAGTTAAAGCCTAATAAGTCACCAAGCCCCGATGAGATATTTGCCAGACGATTAAAGGAAAGTAAAGAAGAGCTTAGAATTCCTTTAGCAAATTTGATTAACATGCCCTTAAAAGCGGGTGTAGTGCCAGAATCCTGGAGGATAGCGAATGTGAAAACGATTTTCTAGAAGGGAATTAGATCACTATCCTCTAACTACCATCCAATCAATTTAACATCAATTGTAGGCAAATTACTGGAAGCAATAATTTCAAACTCAAGTCGAAATCACCTGCAGAAGCACAAGTTGATCAATATTCCCAACATGGCTTCACAAGCGGGCGTTCATGTCTGACTAATCTATTAATATTCTTTTCAGCCGTTTTCGAATCAGTGGATGACGGGCACGATTACGATGTGATATATCCCATTTTAGCAATGCCTTCGACAGAGACCCCCACGAAAAACTAATACGAAAAGTGGAGGCGCATGGCATTGGAGGAGATACTCTAAAATGGATTATGGCGCGGTTACATGATAGGAAACAGCGAGTGAGCACGAACGGCACTAAATTGGAGTAACGTCACTAGTGGAGTACCCCAAGGCTTAGTACTTGGGCCATTACTATTTATAATATATATATATATATATATATATATATATATATATATATATATATATATATATATATATATATATATAATATATATATATATATATATATATATATATATATATATATATATATATATATATATATATAAACGACATAGATATCGGCGTAGACAGCAACATAAGGAAATTTGCTGATGACACTAAAATTGGGCGTGTAATTAAATCTGACGAGGACTCCGCAAAACTACAGGAAGAGCTAAACAAATTTTTCGAATGGTCTGAAAAATGGGAGATGAAATTCAATGTGGACATATTTAAAGTACTTAGTCTTGGAGATGTAAACAGAGAAACTAGATACCAGATGAAATGCGATGTTATAAAGAAATCCGATTGTGCGAAAACTTAGGAGTAATGATAAGTAGGAATCGTAAACCAAGTAAACCATGTGTATTTGCTCGACACAACGCTAACAAAGAACTTGGGTTCATACAAAGGAGTGTTAGTTACAAGACTAGCGAGGTCATCCTAAAACTATATCTTGCGCTTGTGAGACCTCACTTGGATTACGCAGTTAAATTCTGGTCACCGTACTACAGACTGGATATAGAATCCCGAGAAAGAATTCGGAGGAGAATGACAAGACTATTCCCGGGCATTAGGAACCTTGAGCACAGAGACAGGTTAAAGCATCTTAATTTGCACTCCTTCGAGAGACGTAGAGTGAGGGGCGATATGATCGAGTTGTATAAGTGGAAGTCAGAGCTAAACAAAGGTGGCATTACAGTGTTGTGTATATAATTAGCCATCGGATAGGGTGAGACAAACAACTTCTTGCAGGGTCCAACGTATACTGTCACAAACGTAAGCTTACATCTACAAAGTTGATAACATTATAACACAGAAAAGAAAGTGCAGCTATCAGTGTATAACATGAGCTAACAGACACGTCTATGTTAGGAATCACTCCACAAAGAATAGCACAATGAAGCATTGAAACATACAAACAAAACAATGAGACATGTTTGAACCCGAACATAACACTAAGGTACTCAAACTGTCCAACCAGGAGCGAACTCGTAATAATGGTTTTAAATTAGACAAATTAAGATTTTGGCGCGAGATAAGTAAACGTTGGTTTGGAAATAGAGTAGTGGACGAGTGGAATAAGTTACCAAACATCATCATTACCCCTAATACGCTGGATAGCTTCAAACATAGGTTGGATGGATATATGAGCGATAGGGGTTGTGTAATTGAGTCTGCCCAGTATGGGCCAATAGCCCCGCTGCAGTTTCCTCCATTCTTATGTTCGTAATAATAATAATAATAATAATAATGATAATAATAATAATTAACGGTTTATTGTAAAAGTTCTGCAGCCCGAAGGCTGAAAATATACACTGGACATAAATGACTTATTACATACATTGGTGGTTTAACAAAAGCCTTCATTAGAGAAAGGTAAAGGAACATACAGTGAACATACAGATTAATGTAGGTGTTGAACAGCAAACACGTAGTGTAGTAACTCCCTCCCAGATGGTGTTAGGAGGGACCTCACGTGGTGTAGTAGTTCCCTCACAGATGGTGTTATGAGGAACCTGACGTGGTGTAGTAATTCCCTCACGGATGGTGTTATGAGGGACATCACTTGGTGTAGTAATTCCCTCACAGATGGTGTTATGAGTGGCATCACGTGATGTAGTAATTCCCTCATAGATGGTGTTATGAGGGACCTCGCGTGGAGTAGTAATTCCCTCACAGATGGTGTTATGAGGTCCTGACGTGGTGTATTAATTCCCTCGCAGATGGTGTTATGAGGGCCCTCACGAGGTGTAGTAACTCCCTCACAGATGGTGTTATGAGGGGCATCACGTTGTGTAGTAATTCTCTCACAGATGGTGTTATGAGGGGCCTCACGTGGTGTAGTAATTCCCTCACAGATGGTGTTATCAGGGACCTGACGTGGGGTAGTAATTCCCTCACGGATGGTGTTATTTGAGTGAGGGGTGGTCCCAGGCCTTCCTATCGTAGACGGATTAACACATCGCTGGTTGTTGTTGGGTCTCACTGGCAGTTATCACTGGGTACCTGTGACCTCACTGTGTGAAGGCAACTTGAGTACGACTCGGCCTTTACTGTTGAGATGTTCTCACTGACTTAAGCACTGTTCACCATTGTTAACCTCTGTTCAACACTGGTTTCATTCCTTTCCTAATTGAGATTGTGACTTATGGCGAGAACTTGTTGATATTCCGGTGGGGAGGAGGGTTCACGGGAGGGAGTTGGTATGGGCCAACTTAACAGTTGACCTGGCTGCTCACAGGGGAGCGCCAGGTACGTCTTGACCCTTCGGTGGTCAAGGATGTAGTGTGTGTGTGTGTGTGTGTGTGTGTGTGTGTGTGTGTGTCATACTCTTTCTCTCTGTTTTTTGATGGATGCCTCACCCCCATACTTCCAAAATACCTAATCATGAACTTTCCTCATTTCATACATGCATCTGGTTATTGGCTTTTAACGAATCTCGTTAACCCATCGTTAATTTGTTATCGTTGCAACATACACTGCCCACCTACATATCATATCCTACAGAAATCATGTTTTGTATTTACAATTATTATTTCAAGTGTACTTTTCTACGTTAATCTTTTCATAGCTAATTATATTTGAGATATTTGTAGTTATCCTCATGACTTATATTCAACCGTCCACAATGATAACACTTTTTTTAACCGACAATAATGCTGACTATTATTTTGTTTTGTTTTCATTCATTTATTCTGTCTTCATTTGCAAAACAACAGTAATTTTTCTGTTTTAAACGAGCAAACAATAGAGTGATGGGATGTGATGAACATGTCAAAGCTCGATTTGGTGAATTTCAATAACAGTTCTATCCTCCTTAGTAATTTCAATCAACAGTCACATTCGTAGTCTTAAAATCCAGTTGGATTCACAAATTATGGTTTCTCAACATTGGGAAAATCATTTAATAAGGTGCCGTTCATCTTTGAACCTGATACCTCCTGAGTGAGTGATTAATACGCCTCTAACTAACATATCCCACTCCAGCTATGATCAAAGCCCATAAACAGCAGTGTGTATGTGGTGATATTTGTCAAGGGCAGAAAACATAATAATGAGGACTCCTTGTCACGTTGGCTGGGAATGTTCAAGTCATCCCTTGACCCTCCAGCAGCGTATAAAAGGCGAGGTGTCAGTCAGGCTCTCAACAGACCATCGGCAACTTGCTTTAACACACCATCAACATGGTAAGAAGCTCTCGGTAGTTTCTTGTAGTATATCAAATATTTCTCTTTCCCCAATAATCTCCCTCTACCAATCTGTATATAATAATTTGCAACTCTATTTCTCTATATTATCCCCTAATTCCATGTGTATACGACCATTATGTAACTTTAGCACATGATATAATTTCTAATATTGATAAAAACAATACAAATTAATGCAGTTTAACTTTATACCAAGAAAAATCACTCTTGTTGAAGCCCATCATTATGTTAGAGTGACTCACAGACTCAGTAAACAATAAGTAACATTCTTTCTATTTCTTACAGAAGGTCGGTTATGCCGGGCTCTGCCTGGCCGTTATGGCGGCTTTCTGTTCTGCTGATTTCGGCGGAAGCGGTGGAGGTGGAGGCGGTTCATACTCACCCCCAATACGTGGCGGCGGAGGAGCCGGAGGCGGATGTGGTGTAACCGGAGGACATTGTGGAGGTGGAGGCGGTGGTGGAGGTGGAGGCGGAGGTGGAGGAGTAACATACAGTGCGCCTTCAGGTGGAGGCGGCAGAGGGGGAGGAGGCGGTGGCCGAGGAGGCGGTGGCCGAGGAGGTGGTGGCCGAGGAGGCGGTGGCCGAGGAGGAGGTGGTGGCTCAACATACGTCGCACCTTCAAGTGGCAGCGGCGGCAGAGGTGGTGGCGGATTTGGAGGTGGTTCCAGCGTGTCCTTTGGTAACAGTGGATTTGGAGCTGGCTTTGGCAGTGGTGGATCCTCTAGTATCAGCTACGGTGGATCATCTGGTGGTGGCAGAGGTGGGTCCTCTGGTGGTGGTGGATTCGGAGGCAGTTTTGGTGGCAGTCGAGGCGGATTTGGAGGTGGATCTGGTGGTGGTCGCGGTGGATCCTCAAGTACCAGCTACGGCGGATCATCTGGTGGTGGCAGAGGTGGGTCCTCTGGTGGTGGTGGATTCGGAGGCAGTTTTGGTGGCAGTCGAGGCGGATTTGGAGGTGGATCTGGAGGTGGTCGCGGCGGATCCTCGAGCGTTAGCTATGGTGGATCATCTGGTGGGAGCAGAGGTGGATTTGGAAGTGGTTCTGGAGGTAGTCGAAGTGGATCTGGAGGTGGTCGCGGTGGATCCTCTAGTACCAGCTACGGTGGATCATCTGGTGGTGGTGGATTCGGAGGCAGTTTTGGTGGCAGTCGAGGCGGATTTGGAGGTGGATCTGGAGGTGGTCGCGGCGGATCCTCGAGCGTTAGCTATGGTGGATCATCTGGTGGGAGCAGAGGTGGATTTGGAAGTGGTTCTGGAGGTAGTCGAAGTGGATCTGGAGGTGGTCGCGGTGGATCCTCTAGTACCAGCTATGGTGGATCATCTGGTGGTGGTGGATTCGGAGGCAGTTTTGGTGGCAGTCGAGGCGGATTTGGAGGTGGATCTGGAGGTGGTCGCGGTGGATCCTCGAGCGTTAGCTATGGTGGATCATCTGGTGGGAGCAGAGGTGGATTTGGAAGTGGTTCTGGAGGTAGTCGTAGTGGATCTGGAGGTGGTCGCGGTGGATCCTCTAGTACCAGCTACGGTGGATCATCTGGTGGTGGCAGAGGTGGGTCATCTGGTGGTGGCAGAGGTGGGTCATCTGGTGGTGGCGGATTTGGAGGTGGAAGATCATCCGGAAGTAGCGGTGGCTATGGAAAGTAAACAGGCCAGGTTGAGAAGCGCACTGAACGTTCTTCTCGGCGTCCTAAAGCACAACACTGTTCATGTCTTCTTCTAAACAAAGATCTTGTTGCTGTAAACACACAGAGAGATATATACAGCTAGGTATAAGGCCATCATGTTTCATTATTTATAAGTGCACATGGACATTGTGTTTATTATTATTTATGTGTGACTGGGAACTTAATAAAGCAAATTAAATGTTAATAAAGTGGCTTTTTTTACCAAGTTTTTGAGCTTAATTCATCTGAAAGAAAACTCTTTCGAGGCAAATCGATTTATTTTATTTCCAACATACTTCTGTGTGAAAGAAAATATTATAGTGAGACAACACAAAATCTGTTAATACTGTCATATGATTATGAGGTTTTGGAAATATATGAAAATTTCAGCGTAAGAGAATTACAAAAAAAGGTAAAATATACGATGTTTCTGTTAGTCCAAGTGGTGGCAACCATTTATATGTTTCATCCTTTACCGGCGGAAGTTCCGAGAGTAATTCGTTGTAACGAAAAAAGAATATATGTTCTATCATGTGTTAATTACTTTACTTCTTTAATTTGTGAATTCAGCTTTGCACCATTATTACTGTAAGGGATAACCTGACCAAAACAAACAAATTTATATCTTTTGTTTACTTATAAAACAAATTACATATTATATATGACATTGAGATATTCGGAAGACGCTTTGAGACAGCAAGTATGACACAACATTATATATTTTTAAATACTCCGTCAATGTGTTTTTGGAAAGATGCCTCCACCACACTACCTCCAAAATATCGTGTCTTGAACGTTATTGGCTTTTAACCCTCCCGTTGATCTTTGACCTTTACAGCATGCCCTGACCATCAGAATCGAGAATGACGATCATTCAGCTGTAATTCAATGATATGAGTTATTAAGTTTGTCACCTAGGTTGGTGAGTTTTGAGGTGACTAAAGAGGCCGATACGGGTCCCTCAGGGTCATCCACATTCGTTGCACATGTGAAGGGCCGCATCTAGTACGGGAGGGGTGGTGGTAGCGTCTTTCCGGTGTGGGCGCTTGTCTGCCTCGGTTTGCAGTCGGGCTAACTCGAAAGTGTTGACACTCGTCTCGCGTGGTGCTCATCCAAGCGTTACGATGTGGAGTAATTGACTCCCAGGTGAGGGAGTCGATTTGGCAGTTTTGTCTTAAGACTATCCTTATACCTTTTCAATTACTCGCTGGCGTTACGTTTACTATTCGTTAGGTGACTGTAAATAAATTGCTTTGGCATTCTACTGTCATCCATGCGGGTAACATGGCCAGTCCAGCTTAGTTGTTAATTGATAATGGTAGCCTCGGTGCTCCTACAGATGGTGAAAGTTTTCAAGTTCCATTAAGTGCCTCCTGTATGTGACCCATGTCTCACTGCCATATAGCTCGATATACGTGAAGCTTTGTAGATAATTTCTGCACCCTACATCTGAAGACACGGTTTCGGAATCTGCCAAAGGCTTTTCATCCACATCTGATCCGATGCTGAATCTCTTCATCAATGTCTGCAGTGGTGGACAGGTGGGAGCCGAAATACCGAAAGTGGGTAACATTAGAGAGGGTAGTACCGTGAAGATGGATGGATGTTGGAGGTGTGGCTGAACCAGGGGTAGGTTGAAAGAGAATCTGAGTCTTACGTACATTCACCTCAAAGCCGAAGTGTGCATACGCATCTGCGTAGGTGTTCAGGATCTCATGTACATCGTGTACAGAGTGAGCAACAAGGGTGAGGTGGTCTGCATACTGAAGTTTAGTAATAGAAGCTGCCGACACCTTAGTTCTTCCCTGGAGTCGCCTTATGTTAAAAAGTCGGTACTGGATGTCCACCCCGCCAGCTAAATTGGCAATGGCACGAGTAAGGACGACAGCCAAGGAAATGGAAGAGACAGTTGGTGCCAGTACACACCCTTGTTTAACCCCAGTTTGGATGGGGAAGAACTCAGACTTGGTGCCATTGTACAGGACACTGCCGTCCATACCATCGTGGAGTTGCCTCACAATGGCGATGAATTTTGGTGGGCAGCCAAAACAGCTGAGGGTCCACCAGAGGGATTCTCTGTTGACCGAGTCGATGGCCTTGGTTAGGTCGATGAAAGGCATGTGCAGGTCACAACGCTGTTCTCTGCGCTTTTCCTGTATCTGGCGGGCAGCGAAGATCATTTTAGTGGTGCCACGTGATGGTCTGAAACCACATTGTGATTCTGAAGGGAATTTTCCCGCTTCAGGAAAAAGTCTGTTTAGGAGGACTCTGGCGATAATCTTGCAAGGTACGGAGAGCTACGAGATTCCGCGGTAGTTGCCACAGTCTGACCGGTCTCCCCTATTCTTATAAATGTTGACAATGGTGGCATCTTTATGAGCTTGGGGGATTTCCTCCATTTCCCATATATTCTCCAGGAGAGAGTAGACACGGCTGGTGAAGCAGAGGTCCTCCTGCTTTATACAGCTCGGCTGGGAATATATACAATATGTTAAGTGGTACATATTTACATGACAAAAAATAAAACAGCGAGAGTGAACAAGTGGCTTTCACACAGACCGTTAAAATCTTACAATTAATCTTTCTCACTCCGGCTATGATCAGAGCCGTGGACCCATCCATGAGCAGTAGTGTGTGAGGTGATTTTGGTCAAGGGCAGAGAAGATAATAATGAGGTCTTTGTAATGTTAGCTGTGAATGTTCAAGTCATTCCTTGAACCTCCAACGGCACCACAGAAACAAGAACCCGTATAAAAGGCGACGTGTCAGTCAGGCTCTCAACAGAGCATCAGCAACTTGCTTTAACACACCATCAACATGGTAAGAAGCTCTCGGTATTTTCTTGTATATCAAATATTTCTCTTTCCCCAATAATCTCCCTCTACCAATCTGTATATAATAATTTGCAACTCTATTTCTCTATATTATCCCCTAATTCCATGTGTATACGACCATTATGTAACTTTAGCACATGATATTATTTCTAATATTGATAAAAACAATACAAATTAATGCAGTTTAACTATATACCAAGAAAAATCACTCTTGTTGAAGCCCATCATTATGTTAGAGTGACTCACAGACTCAGTAAACAATAAGTAACATTCTTTCTATTTCTTACAGAAGGTCGGTTATGCCGGGCTCTGCCTGGCCGTTATGGCGGCTTTCTGTTCTGCTGATTTCGGCGGAAGCGGTGGAGGTGGAGGCGGAGGTGGAGGCGGTTCATACTTACCCCCAACACGTGGCGGCGGAGGAGCCGGAGGCGGATGTGGTGTAACCGGAGGACATTGTGGAGGTGGAGGCGGTGGTGGAGGTGGAGGCGGAGGTGGAGGAGTAACATACAGTGCGCCTTCAGGTGGTGGCGGCAGAGGGGGAGGAGGCGGTGGCCGAGGAGGCGGTGGCCGAGGAGGTGGTGGCCGAGGAGGCGGTGGCCGAGGAGGAGGTGGTGGCTCAACATACGTCGCACCTTCAAGTGGCAGCGGCGGCAGAGGTGGTGGCGGATTTGGAGGTGGTTCCAGCGTGTCCTTTGGTAACAGTGGATTTGGAGCTGGCTTTGGCAGTGGTGGATCCTCTAGTATCAGCTACGGTGGATCATCTGGTGGTGGCAGAGGTGGGTCCTCTGGTGGTGGTGGATTCGGAGGCAGTTTTGGTGGCAGTCGAGGCGGATTTGGAGGTGGATCTGGTGGTGGTCGCGGTGGATCCTCAAGTACCAGCTACGGCGGATCATCTGGTGGTGGCAGAGGTGGGTCCTCTGGTGGTGGTGGATTCGGAGGCAGTTTTGGTGGCAGTCGAGGCGGATTTGGAGGTGGATCTGGAGGTGGTCGCGGTGGATCCTCAAGTACCAGCTACGGCGGATCATCTGGTGGTGGCAGAGGTGGGTCCTCTGGTGGTGGTGGATTCGGAGGCAGTTTTGGTGGCAGTCGAGGCGGATTTGGAGGTGGATCTGGAGGTGGTCGCGGTGGATCCTCAAGTACCAGCTACGGCGGATCATCTGGTGGTGGCAGAGGTGGGTCCTCTGGTGGTGGTGGATTCGGAGGCAGTTTTGGTGGCAGTCGAGGCGGATTTGGAGGTGGATCTGGAGGTGGTCGCGGCGGATCCTCGAGCGTTAGCTATGGTGGATCATCTGGTGGGAGCAGAGGTGGATTTGGAAGTGGTTCTGGAGGTAGTCGAAGTGGATCTGGAGGTGGTCGCGGTGGATCCTCTAGTACCAGCTACGGTGGATCATCTGGTGGTGGTGGATTCGGAGGCAGTTTTGGTGGCAGTCGAGGCGGATTTGGAGGTGGATCTGGAGGTGGTCGCGGTGGATCCTCGAGCGTTAGCTATGGTGGATCATCTGGTGGGAGCAGAGGTGGATTTGGAAGTGGTTCTGGAGGTAGTCGTAGTGGATCTGGAGGTGGTCGCGGTGGATCCTCTAGTACCAGCTACGGTGGATCATCTGGTGGTGGCAGAGGTGGGTCATCTGGTGGTGGCGGATTTGGAAGTGGAAGATCATCCGGAAGTAGCGGTGGCTATGGAAAGTAAACAGGCCAGGTTGAGAAGCGCACTGAACGTTCTTCTCGGCGTCCTAAAGCACAACACTGTTTATGTCTTCTTCTAAACAAAGATCTTGTTGCTGTAAACACACAGAGAGATATATAAAGCTAGGTATAAGGCCATCATGTTTCATTATTTATAAGTGCACATGGACATTGTGTTTATTATTATTTATGTGTGACTGGGAACTTAATAAAGCAAATTAAATGTTAATAAAGTGACTTTTTTTACCAAGTTTTTGAGCTTAATTCATCTGAAAGAAAACTCTTTCGAGGCAAAACGATTTATTTTATTTCCAACATACTTCTGTGTGAAAGAAAATATTATAGTGAGACAACACAAAATCTGTTAATACTGTCATATGATTATGAGGTTTTGGAAATATATGAAAATTTCAGCGTAAGAGAATTACAAAAAAAGGTAAAATATACGATGTTTCTGTTAGTCCAAGTGGTGGCAACCATTTATATGTTTCATCCTTTACCGGCGGAAGTTCCGAGAGTAATTCGTTGTAACGAAAAAAGAAAATATGTTCTATCATGTGTTAATTACTTTACTTCTTTAATTTGTGAATTCAGCTTTGCACCATTATTACTGTAAGGGATAACCTGACCAAAACAAACAAATTTATATCTTTTGTTTACTTATAAAACAAATTACATATTATATATGACATTGAGATATTCGGAAGACGCTTTGAGACAGCAAGTATGACACAACATTATATATTTTTAAATACTCCGTCAATGTGTTTTTGGAAAGATGCCTCCACCACACTACCTCCAAAATATCGTGTCTTGAACGTTATTGGCTTTTAACCCTCCCGTTGATCTTTGACCTTTACAGCATGCCCTGACCATCAGAATCGAGAATGACGATCATTCAGCTGTAATTCAATGATATGAGTTATTAAGTTTGTCACCTAGGTTGGTGAGTTTTGAGGTGACTAAAGAGGCCGATACGGGTCCCTCAGGGTCATCCACATTCGTTGCACATGTGAAGGGCCGCATCTAGTACGGGAGGGGTGGTGGTAGCGTCTTTCCGGTGTGGGCGCTTGTCTGCCTCGGTTTGCAGTCGGGCTAACTCGAAAGTGTTGACACTCGTCTCGCGTGGTGCTCATCCAAGCGTTACGATGTGGAGTAATTGACTCCCAGGTGAGGGAGTCGATTTGGCAGTTTTGTCTTAAGACTATCCTTATACCTTTTCAATTACTCGCTGGCGTTACGTTTACTATTCGTTAGGTGACTGTAAATAAATTGCTTTGGCATTCTACTGTCATCCATGCGGGTAACATGGCCAGTCCAGCTTAGTTGTTAATTGATAATGGTAGCCTCGGTGCTCCTACAGATGGTGAAAGTTTTCAAGTTCCATTAAGTGCCTCCTGTATGTGACCCATGTCTCACTGCCATATAGCTCGATATACGTGAAGCTTTGTAGATAATTTCTGCACCCTACATCTGAAGACACGGTTTCGGAATCTGCCAAAGGCTTTTCATCCACATCTGATCCGATGCTGAATCTCTTCATCAATGTCTGCAGTGGTGGACAGGTGGGAGCCGAAATACCGAAAGTGGGTAACATTAGAGAGGGTAGTACCGTGAAGATGGATGGATGTTGGAGGTGTGGCTGAACCAGGGGTAGGTTGAAAGAGAATCTGAGTCTTACGTACATTCACCTCAAAGCCGAAGTGTGCATACGCATCTGCGTAGGTGTTCAGGATCTCATGTACATCGTGTACAGAGTGAGCAACAAGGGTGAGGTGGTCTGCATACTGAAGTTTAGTAATAGAAGCTGCCGACACCTTAGTTCTTCCCTGGAGTCGCCTTATGTTAAAAAGTCGGTACTGGATGTCCACCCCGCCAGCTAAATTGGCAATGGCACGAGTAAGGACGACAGCCAAGGAAATGGAAGAGACAGTTGGTGCCAGTACACACCCTTGTTTAACCCCAGTTTGGATGGGGAAGAACTCAGACTTGGTGCCATTGTACAGGACACTGCCGTCCATACCATCGTGGAGTTGCCTCACAATGGCGATGAATTTTGGTGGGCAGCCAAAACAGCTGAGGGTCCACCAGAGGGATTCTCTGTTGACCGAGTCGATGGCCTTGGTTAGGTCGATGAAAGGCATGTGCAGGTCACAACGCTGTTCTCTGCGCTTTTCCTGTATCTGGCGGGCAGCGAAGATCATTTTAGTGGTGCCACGTGATGGTCTGAAACCACATTGTGATTCTGAAGGGAATTTTCCCGCTTCAGGAAAAAGTCTGTTTAGGAGGACTCTGGCGATAATCTTGCAAGGTACGGAGAGCTACGAGATTCCGCGGTAGTTGCCACAGTCTGACCGGTCTCCCCTATTCTTATAAATGTTGACAATGGTGGCATCTTTATGAGCTTGGGGGATTTCCTCCATTTCCCATATATTCTCCAGGAGAGAGTAGACACGGCTGGTGAAGCAGAGGTCCTCCTGCTTTATACACCTCGGCTGGGAATTATATCAAGCCCTTAGGTTTTAATATTTTTCATCTGCTTGATGGTAGTAGCTACCTCATCCAGGGATGGAGGATAGCTGAGGTGGATCAGCTGTGGATGCTGAGGAACCTGCTCGATAGTCAGGACATCCACATTGGTGTTTCGGTTGAGCAGTGAATGGTAGTGCTCTTTTCAGTGCTGAACGAGGCCTTCATCGTCTTTAATTATGAAATTACCGTCAGATGAGCTGAGGGGGGCTGCGCAACGAGTGATTGGCCCGTAAAATGTTTTAATGGATTGGAAAAATTCACGGATCTTGTGGTGATTTGCAATTTTTGGTATTTCACATGCTTTATTTTTAAGCCAGTCATTCTTTAGATTGCGAAGTTCCCGCTAGGCAGCCTCTTTCTTCTTGCGGAAGGTATCAGCTTTGGTCCGAGACTGAGGGTTGCTTTGCCAGTCAGTAAAAGCAGCACGTTTATCATCGATGACTACTTTGATTGCTGGGTCATTGTCATCAAACCAGTCCTGATGTGTTATTTTGATCTGGCCGAAGGTCTCTCTGCAGGTTTATGTCATAACAGTGTTGAGAGTATCCCATTCGGCACTGGGATTCTCATTGTTTTCTGTTGGGTATTTTATAAGCCCATGTTCCAGCTGCTCTCTTGAGAGCATGTGCTACTGCTGATTCCTCCAGACGCTTAGTATTAAAACCTCTTCTGCATATTTGCTGCCTTCGCCGTTTTGAGGCGACATGAAGTGAGCTTGGCTCTGACTTGTCGATGACCAGTGTCACAGTGGTCTGAGCTATGCATGGCACGGGTGATGAGGACATCTCGGCGATATCTTTCTCTGACAATGATGTAGTCAATGAGATGCCAGTGTTTGGATCGTGGGTGTTGCCACGAACCCTTGAATTTGTCGGACTGCCAAAACAAGGTATTGGTGATAGTGAGGATGTGTGCAGCACACTTGCTGAGGAGGAGTAGGCCGTTAAGATTACACTTCCCAAGTCCAATTCTGCCTATGGCTTCCTGCCAAATGTTAGCATCTCTGCTAACTCTGGCTTTGAATTTGCCAAGGAGCACAACCTTATCTTCTCTGGGGATAGAGGTTAGCACTCTGTCGAGGTCAGCGTAAAAGGCCTCCTTGTTTTATTCTCTGCATCCAGTGATGGGGCGTATGCACTAAAGAAAAAGGCATGACATGGGTGATTCAGTGGGGCTTGAAGTGTCATGAGGCGCTCGTTGATCCCAATAGGCATTTCAGTTAGCTTGTGTAGGATGCGTTGGTGGATGGCAAAGCCAACTCCTTAAATGCGGTTTCTCCCCACAGCAGGCTTACCCTTCCAGAAGAAGGTAGAGCGAGACCCCTTTTAGGAGGTTCCCACAAGGGCAGTATCCAGTATCCAGAAGGGTCCTGACATTCCATGCAGCGACCATAAGAGGTTGTATGGTTTGTTTTTGGTTAGATCTGTGATTTTCATTGTGTTTTCGACCGCATTAGGATGACCTTTCTGGGTGCGGTTGCCCATTCAGGTTGGGTTTTTCTTCAGGCGATGTCTAGGGCACCTTTTCTAGCCCCCTCCCCGTGTGGGCTGAGCAGAGTGGCTCCTCGAAAGGGCTGCTCAGTCGCACAGACAGGACCGGATTGCACTGCTGCCTAGATCCCAGTGCATAAACGACCATCTTATCTGTGCCACCCATGTGCAGAGTTGTGACTAGAGACTCATGGCAGTCATCTCTGCCTGTCCCCGTCGCCACTCGTCCGTCGCCATAGGACTTTTGGGGCTATAGGGGTTTTGATGATGATGAGAGGTATGATGACCTGGATGACGGCTAAGTGTACGGTGATTTATGTGGTGAGGCAGGAGCGCAGGCTGCAACCACACATCTTGGCTCTTCCTTTTCCTGATCCAGTGGTGCAAGTGTTGCAACGACTGGGGAGAGGGAGAGCTGTAATGGACTGCTGATAGCCCAGTTTGTTGGGTTTCGCCTTAGTAGCCTGTCCATTAGGCATTGCCTTCGTCTGCCACTGTAGTCGCTGGGTTTCTATGTTGGTCACCTCTTCCGGCTCTACCGCCGTTGGGGGTCTTGTTGGAGCTCTGTAAGCATGTCTGCCTGATGCGGGGCTCCACCACAGATTTTTCGTTCAGGGTTTACTCCCGTAGCCTTATACCTACCAAGGTTAATCCGCAAGGCAGCGGGGCAATAACTGGTAGGCGCCAGAACGTGTCCACATGCCAGTGGGCCTATGCGCCGTCCCTCTGGGGCCCACTGATACTCCGAGATCCCCTGCTGGTCTAGCCTGGGCCCACGGGGCACCCAGTTACCGTGTGATGCCACGAGGAGGAACAACAGGAGTCTTAATGGTGAGGAGGCTCTGTACTGGGGAGGGATGACTTATAGAAGTTGCTTCCCTGTTCGCCACGAACGCTAGCTAGCGGCTGCAGCTGAAAGCGAGGTGGAGCAAGCAGAGCTTGCACCTTAACACAAACATAATGCTGCCACACTAGACGCATTTCACCACCCTGTTCCCTCCCCTCCCCCCCCTACACACACACACACACACACACGTACGTACGTTTGGATTAGTTTGCTTGTTTGTTTGTTTTATAGAACCTTTTGAATGGCCATAAACGATCATGAGCCTTATCATATATGAATAAATGCACAAAAAACCTAACCAGCCTAACCTAACCAAACGTTACCTAAATTTATTTAGATTTAATTTCTGTATCTCCTAATTGTCAATGGCGAAATGATTTAAACTGTACAAATTTGGATATATACGAATTAATTTTCATTAACTTAAAGTAATAATATCAAAACGTTTTTTTGTCGGCCATAAAGTCAGTTACTTTTTAAGGCCTAATATCCGAGTATATACAGTATGTTAAGTGGTACATATTTACATGACAAAAAATAAAACAGCGAGAGTGAACAAGTGGCTTTCACACAGACCGTTAAAATCTTACAATTAATCTTTCTCACTCCGGCTATGATCAGAGCCATGGACCCATCCATGAGCAGTAGTGTGTGAGGTGATTTTGGTCAAGGGCAGAGAAGATAATAATGAGGTCTTTGTAATGTTAGCTGTGAATGTTCAAGTCATTCCTTGAACCTCCAACGGCACCACAGCAACAAGAACCCGTATAAAAGGCGACGTGTCAGTCAGGCTCTCAACAGAGCATCAGCAACTTGCTTTAACACACCATCAACATGGTAAGAAGCTCTCGGTATTTTCTTGTATATCAAATATTTCTCTTTCCCCAATAATCTCCCTCTACCAATCTGTATATAATAATTTGCAACTCTATTTCTCTATATTATCCCCTAATTCCATGTGTATACAACCATTATGTAACTTTAGCACATGATATTATTTCTAATATTGATAAAAACAATACAAATTAATGCAGTTTAACTTTATACCAAGAAAAATCACTCTTGTTGAAGCCCATCATTATGTTAGAGTGACTCACAGACTCAGTAAACAATAAGTAACATTCTTTCTATTTCTTACAGAAGGTCGGTTATGCCGGGCTCTGCCTGGCCGTTATGGCGGCTTTCTGTTCTGCTGATTTCGGCGGAAGTGGTGGAGGTGGAGGCGGAGGTGGAGGCGGTTCATACTTACCCCCAACACGTGGCGGCGGAGGAGCCGGAGGCGGATGTGGTGTAACCGGAGGACATTGTGGAGGTGGAGGCGGTGGTGGAGGTGGAGGCGGAGGTGGAGGAGTAACATACAGTGCGCCTTCAGGTGGTGGCGGCAGAGGGGGAGGAGGCGGTGGCCGAGGAGGCGGTGGCCGAGGAGGTGGTGGCCGAGGAGGCGGTGGCCGAGGAGGAGGTGGTGGCTCAACATACGTCGCACCTTCAAGTGGCAGCGGCGGCAGAGGTGGTGGCGGATTTGGAGGAGTAATACAAGGTGCTTCCTTCAGGTGGTGGTAGAGGGGGAGGAGGTGGTGGTTGAGGAGGTGGTGGCCGAGGAGGAGGTGGTGGCTCACATGTCGCACTCTTTCAAGTGGCAAAGTGGTGGTGGAGGTGGAGGTGGAGGTGGAGGAGTAACATAGTGCTCCTTCAGGTGGGAGGCGGTAGAGGGGAGGGAGGCGGTGGCTGAGGAGGTGTGGCTGAGGAGTGTGGTGGCCGAGGAGGCGGTGGCTGAGGAGGGTAGGCTCAACATACGTCGCACCTTCAAGTGGCAGAGGCGGCGGAGGTGGAGGCGGAGGTGGAGGAGTAACATACAGTGCTCCTTCAGGTGGAGGCGGCAGAGGGGGAGGAGGCGGTGGCCGAGGAGGTGGTGGTGGTGGCCGAGGAGGTGGTGGCCGAGGAGGCGGTGGCCGAGGAGGTGGTGGTGGCTCAACATACGTCGCACCTTCAAGTGGCAGCGGCGGCAGAGGTGGTGGCGGATTTGGAGGTGGAAGATCATCCGGAAGTAGCGGTGGCTATGGAAAGTAAACAGGCCAGGTTGAGAAGCGCACTGAACGTTCTTCTCGGCGTCCTAAAGCACAACACTGTTCATGTCTTCTTCTAAACAAAGATCTTGTTGCTGTAAACACACAGAGAGATATATACAGCTAGGTATAAGGCCATCATGTTTCATTATTTATAAGTGCACATGGACATTGTGTTTATTATTATTTATGTGTGACTGGGAACTTAATAAAGCAAATTAAATGTTGATAAAGTGGCTTTATTTACCAAGGTTTTGAGCTTAATTCAGCTGAAGGATAGAAATAGTTTTTCTTGCCTCGAAAGAAAACTCTTTCAAGGCAAAACGATTTATTTTATTTCCAGCATACTTCTGCGTAAAAAGGAAATACAAGAGCGAGACTACACGGAAATTTGTTAATAACCTGCACAAAACAAGATCAGTTTCTAATCTTAGGGTTACATAAATAAAAAATTTTATATCATGCTTCTAATAATTATACTTCTGAGAAGGAAATATATTTTTCGTTCATATTGTAAAAAAAAGAAAGTTTGTTAGCATCGGAATCCGGTCTAAGAAGGTAATTGACACACGAGAATAGCTATTTCCTTGTCACTTAATGATTGCTATTTTTTCCTATCAAATGTATACAGAAATTATATCAATAATCTTAATAGTCGAAGCAACGAAGACAAATACGATCATCCACAAGATGAAGCAGTTATATTACTTTGTGATTTTAAACAAAGATTATTATCTATTTAAAATGAATGACCTTTTATGTGATGTTGCAACATATTCTAAGCCTATTAATAATCCTCTCAACACAGTTAATACTCAATTTAACAAAAAACTTATGCCTTTGTTGAGAGGTGAAGATAATCTCAGTAAACAGTTTTCTTCAACGTCTTCTTCACTGCCATACATGTGCGGTCTTATCAAGACTCACAAGCCAAATAACCCAGCAAGACCCATCATTAGCTCAGTTGGGTCAATCACTTATAAGTTGTCTAAATGGTTAGTTTCTTTACTAAGCTCCATAGTTGGCAATATATCAAACTCTAATATTAAGAATAATATGGATTTAGTTGATAAACTCTTTAACCTACACATTAATTATGATTTTAAACTGGTCAATTTTGATGTAATATCACTCTTTATAAAGGTCCCAGTTGATGATTTGCTTGAGTTCCTCACAGATTCCCTGGAGAATATTCTATTGCCCGTCTCAAAAAAAAAATCGTTGAACTTATCAAACTGTGTATTAAGGATTGTAAATTTGAATTCACTAGAGAATATTATGCTCATAAATTTGGTATGGCGATGGGTAATCCGCTTTCACCAGTATTGAGTAACAGAAAATATATGGAATTTTTTGAGAAGAAACCACTAAGTAATATTTTACATCTTCAGCAGTTTTTTTTAAGATATGTAGATGATGTAATATGTCTTTGGCCATGTAATAAGGACTTAAAAGCCTTTCTACCACTACTGAACAACTTAGCCCCCTCCATCAAATTCACTGTGGAATCTGCTCCACAGAGTAGGTAACACCTAAAGTTCAGTATTTATAGGAAACCTACTAATTTATGTTCAAATATTCATTATTATTCTGCCCACCATAAAAGAGTCAAACAGTCAGTATTCTCATCAATATTTTTACGTGCTCTACCAATATGCAGTCCGAAATTCATTGATGAGGAATAAAATTATATATATAATATTGAACATAAGAAGGACATATGAATGGAGGAAACTGCAGCGGGCCTATTGGCTCATACTGCGCAGTCCCATTTACACCCAACCCCTATTGTTCATATATCCATCCAACCTCAGCTCATTGTCACAACTGGCTAAATAAGTCAATATAACTTAAGTATGTTTTCCACTCTAAACACTGCCAATACACACTGCTTATAACCCATGATCCTTATTTTAAGTATTTTCCCAGGTCACCTGATTACGGATTACTTAACCTAATAAAGCTTGTGTATTTGTGCTTTTTCTAATTGCATATTATAAACAAAAGTAATTTAATTCTGTAAATATTTCAAGATTATTTGTCTTTCTTCAGGTGGTTATGATCCAACAAATGAGTGTGTGTGAAGCAATACCACTGCCAGCCAGATCACAACACTAACTCACCGGCACCTCACATTATCCCGTTTAATGATGCGACATATACATTTAACGACCTCACTACACCCTCGGTATTAAGGCGGTCGTAAACATGGCGTTGAAACTGTATATAAACTCTCGTATAATCTCAGGTATTATCTTATGCTTAAATAAAAAAAAGTAATCCTCGAATCGTTGAGAATTAAGAACTACTCCTGTTTTTCTATGGCAGGTAAGTTTCCTGCCAACCAGGTTAATCATGCTCAGTCCAGTGTAAGTCCTGTTTGCTCAAGAGTCTTCCTTCAATTGATTTATCTGTAATAGCTGTATTGTTTATATAAAATTATCCACTAATCAATTCACTGAGGCTGATATGTTACTCACGTTTTACATATTATTTCACCGAATTATAGAATATTTCCCTGAAATTTAATGTTTTCAGTATTATTTTCGTACAGAATGGGACTGACCTCGCCAAAAATTTTATTATGGCGTTGGAAGTTGAATATTTTCCATAGCAACCTCATATAGGTGGGTGTGTGTGTGTGTGTGTGTGTGTGTGTGTGTGTGTGTGCGCGTGTGTGTGTGCGCGCGTGCGTGCTAACACTTATTGTACGTATATACATTACCGTCAACGTTTTATGGAAGTGTGACTGGTGACTATTTGTGATTCTTACATCGCATGTGTTCAACTACATTCGCGTGCACTTAAAAGCCGAGTTAATTAACACAGACTCGCACTTATCTCTTAGTTACATAATCTTCCACATTATCGAGGACGAAAGCGAAAACCGTAGGAAAGTATAATGTCACGTTGAGAGAGAGTGAGTCACCATTAATCACTACATGTACCAAGAACAAATACGGAAATCTTCATTATTCAAGTACTTAGTGCAACTTAAACTGCCACAGCATAAACCTGATTAATATGATATAAAAGAAATCAATGTCACCTTTATGATTTTGTAAATTTATCGCTGCTTGACTTATTTATATACAAATCAAATATTACAGTACAAGTAAGAGAGAGCCAGATGTTCTGTAAAGTCGAAATGATAGTTGTTCTGTTAGGTTTGCCTTTGAGTCCCCTGTGTGTCATACTTTATGGCAGCCTTTCTTTACTTTCCAACTACATCGGAGTTACCATTTTCTGTACAATATTACGTTTATCGTTATAATCTATGTGTTTTACTGTTCTTAAGTATTTCTACCCTTCAACAATGTGGTCTTTAAGGACATTCACTTTGTAAATTAATGTACTAGATAATAACTATTCGCATATAATATTATACATCAGAGTTTGTGTAGCATGTGTATAAAGCCCTCCAGTGTAAACAAAGTAACGTTTACTGAGAAGCTACCGTATATAAACATGCCGAAGCTCCTTAACCTTCATCAAAAACTGGTCAGCATCAATATTTTGTTCCAGGAATTCAAAGTGTCAGCTTCGAAGGTCATGTTTACACTAGAATAACCTGTTATAGTACACTCTTCTTTCCTCACACAACCAAACTGTGGAATGCTCTGCCTTCTTCTGTGTTTCCATACTCATACAATTTGTCTCACTTCAAAAAGCTGGTTTTCCGGCATCTTTGTGGTGTAGATTAATATAGTATTTTTCTCTTCTACTTTTAATTTATTTTTACTCGTATTTTTTCGCCCCCTTAGCTGCGTTGTAGGTCGATGACCTGTACCCGGGTGGGCTATTCCCTGTAAAAAATGCAACTTCTTGAACTAAACTAGCTTGTGTTTGATTAGTGTTTACATCTTGCTTATTACCAGCACTAAGCTTATACTGAACCAATGTGAACGAGCATGAAAATAATCCTACTGTACATAAATAATATCTATGGATATATCTGGGAATTTTATGATTTACTGTAACAGCGGATTTCTCTCGTTTGGCGACAGAAACTCTTATGTACAGCAGCCAACATTATTCTTATGGTAATGGCGTATACACCTGTGACAAGTACAGTAAAACGCACAGATAGTCCCCAAATGTGTCCACACTATTTGTTATATATAGGGAAATAACAGGTGTGACCTAGCAGAGATAGAATCAGTCATAAATATGACACTCATGAAGAAGGAACATGCGGTCAACAAATGACGACTTAACAACAAGAAGAGAGAGGCGTAATTGCCCCAGTGGCAATATAATCACAATAATATTTCACAGATTTATAACAAGCTAGACGAGGTGATCGAGTGTCTACTGTAGTCAGTGAAACAATGTCTGTACTCACGTATGATCGCTTTGCCCCGACGAAGATCCCACTTTGTACAGTACACAGAGGCCTAGAATTATAAATTCCGTCTTGGCGCCCAGCGTGGGGACACCCGTGCCAAGGCGGGTGGGGGTCGATTTGGAATTTTCTCAAGGTGGGATGTGGGAATTATACTAGGTGAGGCGCTGGCTGAAACAGTGCTACCGATCACATTCCAAACTAACATATGTGTATAACTCCTGTTAGCTGCCAACACTCTGGTGCGCGCGACTCCAACTGCCTTAGGACTAATGGGGCACCGTCATCTCCCTCCCTGGGTCAATGGCATGTCACGAGGTGAAAGTTGGCATTACTGGCATCGCATATGGCGGTAACACCTTTTAAGTCCAGGCTATTCAAACTCAACACGTAAGCTCCTCCTCCTGAGACACCCTACACCGAGATTGCCCGGGACCAGGTCTCTTGCATTTAACCGATTATTGGGCGTCTTCACTCCTTTCGGTGACGTCGCCGATGCCTTCCTTAGATTACTACAGTTTGACAGCAAGTCCACCCCCTTGCAGTGTCTGTATGGGTCCGCTTCCACTGGAGACGTCTTCGCCTCCCCACTGCCGCTGTCAGCTTGCACATGTATAGGCTGGCGGCTCCCTTTTCGGCCACAAACCAGGGCCTCCATTAACACTCAAGTGACAGTCTGGCCACGACTCCTTTCAAATCCAGGCGTGAGTCCAGCTCCGACTACAAACCGACTGCCGCGTATGCAGCGGCGCAATGTCTCACCATGTTTACCATGTCTCGCAAACCCTCTTGGTTGGCTCATAGCAGGCCCACAGTTCAGTTTCTCCAACCACTGCTCGGCGATGCTTCTTGGATTCCGTAGCACTGCGGCAGCAGCCGCCAAGCTCGTTGGTACCCTTCATCAGCGTCCCGGTAGTCAGAGATCTCGATCAGTTCCTGAACGTTTCCCTTGCAGTATTGTATTGGCAGACTCGGCTCCATTACAAATTACCCCAAGAATCATGTTGGCTGTTGTACATCTGAGTTTCGGTCGCCCAATGGGAGTGATCCGCTGTTACACCTACCCTCAGTAAAAGACTCTCATGACAGCCTGTTTATAATTTCTAAGCACCTGGATTATATCACATTTTGTCTGGTAATTGTTCCGATACTTGACAGCTTAAAACAGTAAGACAGCGACCCTGTATGACACATTCAGTACATAGTTCCGACTGATGTCTATCTTATAATGACCTTTTTAAATTTCATTGTCATCATATTTTTTAACCTTACTCTTAATTAAACCATGGTTGAGAAACATTTACATTGAGGGTACGGACACTGGCATATATATATATATATATATATATATATATATATATATATATATATATATATATATATATATATATATATATATATATATATATATATATATATGTATATCGCGCTGTCTTTATAAAATACAAGTTACCCTAAAGTCTCGGTGTACAGAACACCATTTTCTCTGAAGGTGAGTTGATTCATACGGGTGGCTTTAAATTCAGAGGGAATGATGGACTGTATATGTTCTTATAAGCTTCTTAAGTAAGATCAAATTTAATGTTAATGTTATAAGGGTATTACCGCGCTTCAACAACTAAAGTCTTAAGCGCGAAACAAGATTAATAATTACAGTAGTCCATAAAATTAAATAAAATATTAGGAGAGTTTGCACACTCTGTATATGAGAATGTAATCGTTTGCATACTGCAAGAAAGAAAAATATCTTAAACTATTCAAACATTTTTAAAGAACCTTTCTGCCAATTTTGTGCATTAAATCTCACAATAAGCAGAGGATTCCGTTACTGTATGGAAACATAATGGGCTATTGTCCCTCTGAACTAAAAATCTCTTCGCCGATTGTGAGGTAAAACTCCGCGTTAATGCCAAGATAACATTATAACCCTTTGAGAGCACTTGTAGGACCCGCCTTTCTTTGTGTTGGAGAACGAAGGTGAAGAGGCTTTGTATTTATCAATATATGAAGATTAGTTTACTGTGTACAAATTGCAAATGTTTGTGAAATTCATGCTTGTAACTGTCTGCTTATTTTATAATAATTTTATGTAGACGGAAAATTTTGCTTATTAAACAGTCAATTCATTAATATAATTTCCTAATATATCCATTAATTATTAAAATTTTCTTGAAAATAAAACATAAATTTACTTAACAATTTACTTGTTACAATAATGGTTAACACTTTAAAAAAAATATAAGTCAAACTTTTGTAACAGAAACAGTAAATTACATAGATTATAATGTGCAGTAAAGTAACTAACATCATATTAGTTTAATGTAATAGAATGATGAACTGAAGAGATGATGTGTTGCGTCATCTGGCTGATACATGTAGATGACAATACGATGAAGGACGATGTCCACACTGTTAATACCAGAGGTAGGAAGTTAGAGAAGAGTACGTCAGTGGAGTAGTAGAAATATTTACTTTCCATACATACTGCCACCACCGCCTCCACCATACATACTGCTACCGCTGCCTCCACCACCAGAGGATCCGCTGTAGCCACCGCCGCCTCCACCACCAGAGGATCCACCGTAGCCTCCGCCGCCTCCGCTGCCTCCACCACCAGAGGATCCACCGTAGCCTCCGCCGCCTCCGCTGCCTCCACCACCAGAGGATCCACCGTATCCGCCGACGCTTCCGCTGCCTCCACCGCCAGAGGATCCCCTGTAGCCTCCGCCGCCTCCACCACCAGAGGATCCACTATAGCCTCCGCCGCCTCCGCTGCTTCCACCACCAGAGGATCCACCGTATCCTCCGCCGCCTCCACCACCAGAGATCCACCGTAACCTCCACCGCTTCCGCTGCCTCCACCACCAGAGGATCCACCAGCCTCTTAACCTTTCCGCCGCCTCCACCACCAGAGGAACCACCGTAACCTCCACCGCTTCCGCTGCCTGCACCACCAGAGGATCCACCGTATCCTCCGCCGCCTCCACCACCAGAGGATCCACCGTATCCTCCGCCGCCTCCGCTGCCTCCACCACCAGAGGATCCACCGTATCCTCCGCCGCCTCCACCACCAGAGGATCCACCGTAACCTCCGCCGCTTCCGCCGCTTGAAGATCCACCATATCCTCCACCACCACCACTGCTGCCACCAGAAGACCCGCCATACATACTTCCTCCGCCACCGCCACCACCGTACATGTCCCCTCCGCCGCCGCTGGAGGAACCACCGTAACCTCCACCACCGCCTCCACCATGTCCTCCACCTCCACTTCCTCCTCCACCAGATGGAGCGCTATATCCTCCACCTCCTCTTCCTCCTCCTCCTCCCCCTCCACCTCCATGGCCACCTCCGCCACCACCTCCTACGCTGCTATAGCTGCTTCCACCTCCTCCCCCTCCTCCTCCACCGTGGCTTCCTCCTCCTCCACCATGGCTTCCTCCTCCACCTCTGAAGTCCGCAATACAGGCTACCACCAACACGGCGAGGATCACCACGCCTACACCTCGCCTCTGAAATATCAAGGTGTATGATTGAATATTACTAAATATACTTATATTTGTGTCATGTTATTCTCGGGGCATTTGAACGTAAATGTTCCTTATGAAGTCTCACCTATTATATGTGGAAGAACTGTTGATGGTACAGTTTTGGTAATACGATTATTGAGAGAACTCATAATATATATGGACTTAATGTTATGTACAGCGTTTGTGTGTGTAATGTCTTTGTATGGGAATATACCTGTGGCCAAAACTACTTCCATTCCAGATAACGTTTAAAACATTCAAATTTTTCAATAGAGTTTTAATTTTATCTGGTGAAGTACACCCACATCAAATGATGCGTATCGTGATTGTCCTTTCTACTGTTTGGAACATGTTTAAACTTTTGTTTCTGAGATATTGTTTACACTAAGAACATTTTCAAGTACACGTAACATATCTAAAACACTTTAAAACCATTGTAATTGTTTAGACTTAAAGTTTATTCTCTCGTCTCGTATTTGTCTAACTCATTATTCTTAGATAAATTATTTACACTTGGACAAACCTGTTCCGGATTTTGTGCGTTTGATTCTCATCAACACATTTCTCAAACGTTGTGTACAATTCGGCAAACTTAAAGGTGACTGTATAACTGTGCCCTGTGATAGTAGGTAACGAGGTGCTCACCATGTTGCCTCTGCACTCCCCGCCAATCGTCTGACTTCTCTATTGGATCGGGGCCTTTTATATTTTGCACGTCATGACGCAGCTCGGAGTGTTGCTTGCAGCATAATATGTTGCATCCTTGCTTTTGTTTTACCAACAGTGTTATTAGCGGATAGTCTAAATATATCACGTGAAATCTTTCACCGAATATCTTCCTCGAATAAAACTAATTAATAATAAGTCTTATCTTTTGGTATTGATTCTAATCGTGAAGACGTTTAATAACTTCTCTTTAACAAGAATAATTAACTCTTCACCAAACTCAACACTAACTAAACATTAACACGCGATAGTGTCAGTAGAGAGATTCTCACCATGCTGCCTGTGAGCTGACTTTGGATGTACTGACTCACACTCTTAGTATTGCAACCTTTATACTTTAACAAGAATAATTAACTCTTCACCAAACTCAACACTAACTAAACATTAACACGCGATAGTGTCAGTAGAGAGATTCTCACCATGCTGCCTGTGAGCTGACTTTGGATGTACTGACTCACACTCTTAGTATTGCAACCTTTATACTCTTCTTGAAGATGTTGCACAATAATATTGCTTAATGTCCTTTTACATTTCACGGTCAAGTGCATATCATCTTTGTTGTCTTTTATGACTCGGTCGAATCGAGGGAAATAAATTCCTTACAAATCCCCATCTGCGCATCGTGTATACATTAAGATTTTGTACATGCAGTTATATGCACTATTTTTTAAGTAACGTTCTCCCAACTTATTTTAAGGATACTAACAAAGATTTAAGCCATTTAAATGTTTTCAAGGTAATAACAACTTATGAATAATTATGAACAAACGCACACACACACACACATATTTTCAGCCTTTTGGCTGACATGCCCTTTCAATAAGCATTTATATATATATATATATATATATATATATATATATATATATATATATATATATATATATATATATATATATATATATATATATATACACACTAAGAAAATTTATATTACAATAGTAATTACAAATCGGTACTTCGTTTGACAATACTGAGCTCATGATCTTCAATACTGTCATCTACATTCGGTCCTTTATACGACTCGGCAAACATTCACCATCTACATTTTGTCTGTAATATTCTAACTCCTAGTAACCTGTCCGGAGAAAGTGTAGTCAATCAATATTTTCATAACGTTATTAATGTATATTATGTTCTGTACGTTATATTTGTGTAAATGAATAGCATTAGATCGTTCTTTAAACTGTCTTTGAAAGAGTAGACACAATGTTTCACAACCTTTGACGTATTATTCTTGTCTAAGAAAAAATGAATGTTAAATATGAAATTTAATATTACAGTATTTTCGTTATAATCCACCTTTATTGAAAGTAATATTTTCAGTATATCTGAGTATGCAGTATACCACACATTTCATTTTATCAGAGCACTAAATTACTCCCCTTCTATAAGCATTTGTGTTAATAATATTCCAAAACTTCAGAACACTTCAGAGATATTTAGGTCAAATACATTTCTGTATTCATGATTTCCACATTAATCTTATGAAAATTTAGATCCATCTATTAAAGATTTGTTTTCGTGTCTATTGAATACTCACACCATTATGTCTACCTTTTTCATCACTCAGAAAATATGATTAAATTGTACCAGGTTGACAAACAGGTCTGTAAAATGAGTTTTTATAGTACTTTTGTTTATTTATGAACTTTCCTTTTGAAGTAATCATAAATGTAATCATAATTACGCATCATGAAATGGTAATCATAATCGATTACATCCATCTTTACCGTAATCATAAAATTATAGCGCAATCGTAATTGTAATCAATTACATTACCGATGTAATCACCCCATGTGTATGGTAAGACCTCCATCAAACCTATATAGCAATTATAAATCTTGGTTAAGTTTAATTATCGAAATATAGAAGTTGTAAATTATAATCCAAATTCTCCAGAGTGTAACATGCATATGTAATTTCCATCCTCGATGTTATATCAGTGTAACTAATACACACAGTCACTGTAACCAGAGATGCAAAATTAAGGAGCATTAAAAACCTAATGGTAATTAATGGAGTCGATACCCGTGTGTTATTGGGTGTAATGGTTCCTTCTTGTTATCCATAGGTATATAAGGTAAATAATCTATCATTATATTCCTAAGAAAAGTTTTATATACCTAAGGGGATAATGATTAATATTCTTTTTCATATTTAAAGTTTTCTATGAATCTATTTCGAAATATTTCTTTATTTAAATAAAAAAATAAATATGCTAATTAAAGCCTTACAGCAGATACTTCAAATAAATCTTACAACACTTTTTCTATAGAATATTGAAAATATTGTAAATATTTTACAATGCAGTAAATCATCCATTCTTTATCTCCTTTATAGATAATAACCTGGATGATAATAAAATATCTAATAATAATAGGTTAAACTTGTCGATCTTATCATTGCCATATATGAAGTCCCTGATATACATTTACCTGCTAAATTATTTACATGTATGTGTTCATGTGTATTAATAAAATATCGATATTTTAACAGATGGTTAATTGGGCTAACAATAAACATATCCTTACTAATGTCTTCTGGATAACATTAACTATAATGCTCTGTTACATTAATTACATTTTAGTCTTGCTAAAAGACCTCAAACGCCTCAGCACCAGAGCCTGAACCAAAAGTCCCGTTTCTTTTTAAATAAATTTATTAGGAAGCAGCAATTGAACAGTGAATAGACACTGCCATAATGTACGATTTAACAAGAATGGAGCCCAGTAATCGATGTCATTTGCCATGAAACTGTGCCATATATCTTTTACCAGTCTCCCTAGTATAGCCTTTAATCCGAAATTCCTTAAAATATAGATTCATTGGCCTTATTAGTCATACTTCCTCACATAAAACTGATATATCAAATGGACGTATGTGTTTAACCCAGGTATCTGTCGCTGAATTATATCTTGTAAAACTTTTTTTGTTTTTTCTTCAATTTTAAGGTCCATAGAGGAAAGTAAACATTCATAGTCATGTTTTCATGGGAATATCTTAAAAATATATATTCCGTTACTTGTAATACCATAAGTCAATTATACACTCAGTATATTGAAGAATGATGAAAGAATATAATATAAATGGCATCGTACAGTTAACAGTTTATACACTCAGTATATTAAAGGTGATGGATCAATATAAAATAAAGGGCATTATTTCAGTTAACAGTTTACTTCTCAACATAATCGTACACACGTTTATAGAAAAAATAAGACAAACTTTTGTAACAGAAACAGTAAATTACATAGATTATAATGTGCAGTAAATTAACTAACATCACATTAGTTTAATGTAATAGAATGATGAACTGAAGAGATGATGTGTTGCGTCATCTGGCTGATACATGTAGATGACAATACGATGAAGGACGATGTCCACACTGTTAATACCAGAGGTAGGAAGTTAGAGAAGAGTACGTCAGTGGAATAGTAGAAATATTTACTTTCCATACATACTGCCACCGCCGCCTCCACCATACATACTGCCACCGCTGCCTCCACCACCAGAGGATCCACCGTAGCCTCCGCCGCCTCCGCTACCTCCACCACCAGAGGATGCACTGTAGCCACCGCCACCTCCACCACCAGAGGATCCACGGTAGCCTCCGCCGCCTCCGCTGCCTCCACCACCAGAGGATCCACCGTATCCTCCGCCGCCTCCGCTGCCTCCACCGCCAGAGATCACCGTAGCCTCCGCCGCCTCCCACCACCAGAGATCCTGAGCCTCCGCCGCCTCCGCTACCTCCACCCGCCAGAGTCCACCGTATCTCCGCCACCTCCACCACAGAAGAGATCACCATAACCTCCACCGCCCACTGCCTCCCCACCACCAGAGAGATCCACCGCCTCCGCCGCCTCCGCTGCCTCCACTCCACCAGAGGATCCACCGTATCCTCCGCCGCCTCCACCACCAGAGGAACCACCGTAACCTC